AACTAGAGGGGAAATATAGGTCTAGGAAGGCTTTGGTTTTATTTTGTGTTTAAAGAATTATTCTCTTAATATGTTTACAAGCTAAGCCAGTAGAGAAGCAGAGGAGTATTAGAGAGACAGGGGCTGCCTGATGGAGCACTATCTGAGAGAAAGCTATGGAAGGTACAAGTAGAGGGATGAGCTTTGGGCAAGTAGAGAGACTCCTTGACCTCAGAGGTTGGAAGAAGTGAGCACAGGAATTCAGACCTAATTAAGATCCAATGCGGGTTTTACCGCAGGGGAAAAAAGTGACATAATTAAACTATGTTTTAAGAAAATTAGTTTGGCACAAGCATGCAGGATAGATTAGAGTGGGGAGAGGTGGCCGTCTGTGCCAATAATTCAAGCAGAAGATAATGGCAACCCAAACTAGAGTGGTGCCAGTAGAAATGGATAAAATTTTAAAAATCTAATAGACATTTCAAAATGCATGATGACATAATTTTGGGACAGACGGGCATTCAAAAAGAATGAAGAGGTAAAATGACTTAAGAATTTGAAATATTACCCCAGGAAATTAGAATGGTGTTATCAGGGTCAGAAAGGGGGCAATTGGAATGCACAGCCAATGTTGGGAGGGGAAATGCTAGGTTTAAAGTATACTGAGATTGAAGTGATGGTTCTCAAAATTTAAGTTTTGAAAAAAAAGCTAAGTCCTCTACAAAACAGATGACTGCACAGAGAATGGAAAAAAGAAGAAGTGAGGCAGAATAAGAAATATTTCATTCATATAGGGCAACTCTAACATTCCTATGCCAGAAAAAATTAAACAGAACCTGATATTTTAGATGTCTCAGAATTAACTATTTCCTAAGGATCTTACTTTACCTACTAAAAAAGTTTTCCTACCATTGACAGACCAGAGTCTCAGATCAAGTAAAATGTTCTCCTAAACATTTAATCTTTTATCAAATCTCAGACATTTGATGTCAAATGTTGAGAGAATGTGTACAATACAAAGTAATTTTCCAAACTATATGCATTGGTTAGCAATTCAATACTGGTTTGCTGCTTTTCAGGTTTTTGTTTCAATTAATACCAACAGTTGCTACCAACACCACCATTTCACACTCCTAATTCCAGAGTCTTTAAACTGGGAGGAATATTATACCAATAACAAGGACCTGCACATGGCAAGTGTCAGTGCTTTGCTTTTAATTAAAAATAGGTTGGTAAGTACTTCACCATGATTGTGTGAAGAGTAGAATGGAACCACAAGAGTTTCAGGGAACTTAAATTCTGTTTTCTTGCTCCCTGTCTGTTCTCTGAACTTTAGAAAATAATAGGGTGAGGAGTTCTGGAATATAAAATATAGCCTGGAATAAAAACCCTTTTTCTGTTCAGTCATGTTAAATAATCTGCATGAAAGTAACCTTTTGCACCATAATTAGTTTGGGTAAAAAAAAAAGTCTCGGGAGAGACCAAGATGGCGGCATAGGTAAACACCGCAGACTGCTGCCGCAAACAACCACTTCAAAAATACAACTAAAAGACGGAACGGACATCACCCAGAACCACAGGAAGGCTGGCTGAGGAGAGACTCTTCAACTAGAAGGAAAAATAACAGCACACCGAGGCTCAGAGGAGGCGCAGTGTGGAAAAAACTCAGGTGCGGAGGTGCGCGCGCAAAGCGGGCTGGTGGCTGAGAGCGCGGTTGTCGTTTTCGGTCAGGGGGGAGTCTCAGACTCTGAGCTCCAGATACGGGCGAATCGCTGGGGACTCGGACCCAAACGGGAGAAGCGGGAGTGTCTGGCATCAGTTGGAAGGCAGCTTTCCCTCCGAGGTTTGCAGCGGTTCCGGGGGTTCTGAGAAGCAGAGCCTCTGGGAACAGGACTGAGGGCACCATAACGGCTCCCTCCGCCCGCCCTGTTGAGCCCGCCCCGCCCAAGCCCTGCGCAGAGCCATTTGCCGGATCGCCTCAGGCAAAGGCTAGATTAGCACCTCCCCAGAGGACAGAAGTTTTCCGCGGCAGACACAGCTGATTCACACAGCCAGTCGGCCTGGTGGTCAAATCCCTCTAGTATTAACTACAACAATCAAGGCTCAACTAGAACAAGACTGCGCACAAAGACCACTAGAGGGTGCACCAAGAAAGCATAAAAAATGCGGAGACAAAAAAACATGACAGAAATGGAGGATATAGAGCTAAAAATCGCAATTTTGAGGGCTTGCAAAAATGTGCTAGAAGCTGTCAATAAACTTGAGGAGAGAGTCACGAAAACTAATGAGACCCTCGATGCTATGATAAAGAACCAACTAGAAATTAAGCATACACGGACTGAAATAAAGAATATTATACAGACACCCAATAGCAGACCAGAGGAGCGCAAGAATCAAGCCAAAGATTTGAAATGCGAAGAAGCAAAAAACACCCAACCGGAAAAGCAAAATGAAAAAAGAATCCGAAAATACGAAGATAGTGTAAGGAGCCTCTGGGACAGCTTCAAGCGTACAAACATCAGAATAATTGGGGTGCCAGAAGATGAGAGACAGCAAGATATTGAAAACCTATTTGAAGAAATAATGGCAGAAAACTTCCCCCACCTGGTGAAAGAAATGGACTTACAGGTCCAAGAAGCGCAGAGAACCCCAAACAAAAGGAATCCAAAGAGGACCACACCAAGACACATCATAATTAAAATGCCAAGAGCAAAAGACAAAGAGAGAATCTTAAAAGCAGCAAGAGAAAGAGACTCAATTACCTACAAGGGAATACCCATACGACTGTCAGCTGATTTCTCAACAGAAACTTGGCAGGCCAGAAGGGAATGGCAAGAAATATTCAAAGTGCTGAATACCAAGAACCTACAACCAAGAATACTTTATCCAGCAAAGCTATCATTCAGAATTGAAGGTCAGATAAAGAGCTTCACAGATAAGGAAAAGCTAAAGGAGTTCATCACCACTAAACCAGTATTATACGAAATGCTGAAAGGTATCCTTTAAGAAGAGGAAGAAGAAAAAGGTAAAGATACAAATTGTGAACAACAAACATGCATCTATCAACAAGTGAATCTAAGAATCAAGTGAATAAATAATCTGATGTACAGAATGAACTGGTGATTATAATGAATCAGGGACATAGAAAGGGAATGGACTGACTATTCTTGGCGGGGAAAGGGGAATGGGAGATGCGGGAAGAAACTGGACAAAAATCGTGCACAGGGGAGTTATGGGGGGGGGAAAAAGAGGAACAAATGTAACCTGAACAATAAAGATTTAATTAAAAAAAAAAAAGTCTCCCTGGTGATAAAAGGGATGAAAGTAAAACAGTGCAGAAAGCTGGCATCTGGCCATTGTAGTCTATTGATAACATTCTTGGACCAAGAGAAACTATTAAAATTGCCTAACCAAGAAGCAGGTGTAAAAATATCCCCAAACTCATCCTGTATTTAAAAATCTTTCTTAATACATTTCATGCAAAGACCACAACAATATATTACAAAGAAAACACTCAACATGTTAAAATCAAAAGCTAACATGATGGGCCCTGGCCAGTTGGTTGGCGTGTTCTCCTATGCACCGAAAGGTTGTAGGTTTGATTCCCGGTCAGGGCACATACCTGGGTTTCAGGTTCTGTCCTAGTTGGGGCCTGTGGAAGAGGCAACCAATCGATGTTTCTCTCTCATCTATGTCTGTCTATCTGTCTCTCAAAACAGTAAAACATATCCTCGAGTGAGGATTAAGAAAAAAAAGCTAACATGATGGAGGGAGGTGGTATAATATGTATATTATAACATATGATTTCAGATAATATAAAGTCAGTTGAAAATCAAAAGGGCTAGGGGAGCCATTATCAAAATTAGAGGCAGCATGACTTGATAGTAAAAAAAAAATAATAGCTCTATTTGAAAATGCAGTATAAGATAGCATAGTTAAGAGCATGAACATGACCCAGTACTCAAACTTTCAAGTATTTACAACCCAAGCACATAAAAATGAGAATGAAGTCTTCAAAGCCCAGAGAACCATTAACATTTCCTTTTACTTTGCAACTATTATGGTATGAGGTTCCCCTTTTTATTTTCTCAAATATTACCCAAAATTTCATTAAAAAAAGTCATTCTGCATTAGTTTTTACAATATCATCCTAGGCTTCTGGGGTACTAATTTTCATATATATTTAATGTTTGCATATTTAACGTTCTGGCATACAAAATCTCTTGCAAGTACGTATCTTAAATTATCTCAGAGCTGAAAGTTTTTAGAAACCATCTATCCAAAAACCCTAATTTTACAGACAGAGAAATAAAAGCCCAGAAATGGTAAGTAACCTGACCAAGGTCACAGGGTTAGAAAGCAGCAAAGCTGGGACTAACAACCAAGAGCCCTCACTTTCAATCCATTACTCTTTCTACTTTTCATAGCTGCCTTTCAACCTGAACCTCTTTCATAGCTTTCTTTCAACCCGAACCTCTAATTGTGTGATATTTAGGGAAAGAGAGTGAGAGTGATCAAGACATGGAAAGGATAACTGTATTTATTTATTTAAGGACTGGATAGGAAGAATGGATGGATGATTATGTAGGTGGGTGGGAATTCTATGTCATATTTCTGTTTTGAAGAAACCAAGTCTAGGTCTTGTCAAATATCACAGCAGTCACAGTATTCCACCAGACACCAATCTTAGCAGCAAATAATCTGACACATCCTGCAGTTGAAAGAGTATTCACTTGCCAGCGTACACAGAGAAGCAAGGACACTCACCTTCTGGCTCCCAAACTCCTCACTCCCCTGTCCTATGCTCACTATTTACCTGGTTTTGGCGCATCGCATTTGCATTCTCACTTTCTATACACCTCCCTCTCGCAGATTTCTCCATTTACATCAGGTGTCATTTCCTAAATGTCTGCTTCAGTAAGCCCCCCCCCCGCACCCCTTACTCCACTGGCCCCTTGATCACCTTCTCATTTGTCGCCATATCTCAGCCTTTAAAAACCCCATAACCCCCTCTCGCTTACACGGTGATGTGGCCGGCGCCCCGCACCAGTACAGGGTCGGGGGCATATCTCCGCAGGTGCTCCTCGCTCACTACCCGAGGCGGTGGCGGCGTCTCCTCCTCTTGCTCCTTCTCCTCTTCCTCTTCTTCCTCCTCTTCTTCCTCCTCCTCATCTCCCTCGTCATCCTCGAGCCCCGATACAGACGATGACGACGACGGCGACGACGAGGACGAGGACGTAGCTGCTTCTTCCTCCTCCTCCAGTTCCGAGATGGTGTCGAATTCCGCCATGTTGGGCAGCAAGATGCTCATCACGTGACCTCTCGATCGCCGCCACCCTCACGCAGGAGAGTTTGAACTTGCTGAGATGCTGGAAGTTCAGGGAGAAAGAAATGAAGAGAGAGAGGTGTATGGCAGGGAACGGGTTTGAGGAGATGCGCCTGCGTATTATGGTAGACAGGATGGGGTTTGGAGGCGGGGGCACGATGGAGAAAAGAGCAAATCAGTGTACGCTTGCGCAGCTCTAAGCGAAGAGGGGCGTTGAGGTGAACGCCAGGGAATTAAGGAGGTCCGGTCTTCCAGTGCTGATCTTAATACTGCTCTTTGGTCTTCTGCTGCTTGTATCCGGAGGACTAATCTTCTAGTTTTACTTTCTACTAATTAATAGTATTATTGCCCACTCCCAACCCCCACTGTAGGGAAAGCATATTCCATAAAAGTGGGGTTTGAGCTTTGCCCCAAATATCTCAAGGTACAAACCAATTAGTTATGTTGGTTCAGCATTATAGTTTAAAAGAATTTAGCATAAGAACGTTGCCACACTCTAGAGGTATTTTTATTCACATTTTACTGAAAAGAAGACTTTCTATTACTACTTCTATTCATACTGTGTAATACTTATAGAGGACTTTCTAAGCTAGGTACTCGAATGTACATATCTCATTTAATACTTCATAACCTTATGAAGTATGTATCATGATCATCTCATTTTAAAGATGGAAAACCTAGATGCAGAGAGAATACATAAGTTTTTCAATGTCATGGAATTATTAATTAATGGCAGTTCTGACTTTAAACTTGTGGATCTCTTCTGATTCCAAAGCCCAGTACTATTAACCAAAGGACTGAAATTGTTTGAATAGGCTTTGTAGAGTAGTGCCTTTTGGGCTGCTTCTTGAAAGATGTTTGAATTTTGGAGATTTTTTGGGTGGTGGTGGAGGGGAAGGGGCGGGAGGGAGCCTTCCAACCTAAGGAAACATTAATTAACATCATCCATTTTCCAGAGACTGAGCTACACTCTTTCACATAGAGTATTTCAATTAATCCTTAAACAATCCTGTGAGGTAAGCATCATTGTATCTATTTTACAGATGGCACAACAGAGTCTCAGGTCGTTTAAGTAATTTCTTAAGGTCTGGTGACCTTTTGTCCAAAATTTTTTATTTCAAATATTCTATCTTCATACCCACTAAAATGGTGTAGAGATCACATATTTTGAGTTTCCAATCCTTGTCCCAAACTATTTCCTACTTCCATGTCATAATTCAGGGATCATTGGGACACTAAGGGCACACATCTGCTAAGTTATAAAACAAATACTATAATCCAAGTATTTGATATTAACTTCACTGCTCTTTCTGCTGCACTACAGTTGCATCCCAATTAGACTGGAGAAACAGATATAGTCACGCAGTATAGCAGTATAAACAAAGCATTTAGGATGTATGAAGGTGGAAGAAATTAGTTGTATAAGAGGCATTGATCAAACCATTATCATTACTGAGGAGTTTGTGTTATTAAAATGAAAAAAAAAAGTTGTGCTGTACTCAAAAGCTTGATTATTTAAGAACTTTAAAACTAAGTTGTAAGCCTGGCTGGTGTGATTTGGTTGGGTGTTGTCCTGTGCACCAAAGGGTTGCCAGTTCGATTCCCATTTAGGAAACATACCCAGGTTGTGAGTTCAAGCCCAGGTCAGGGCCTGTGTGGGAGGCAGCCAATTGATTTCTCTCTCACATCAATGTTTCCCTCTCTCTCCTTCCCCTCTTTCTAAAAATCAATAAAAAATTTTAAAAAATATTCAAGTTGTAACATTTTATTAATCAATGTTACCCCAGTAAATTCAATTACAAATTTGCTGGTTTACCCTCCAGGAAAAAAAAATAACTAAAAAAATTAATTGTAACACTATCACTAAGCAAAAAAAAAAAAAACTTTTTTACAGTATAGAGAATTTATCTGCTAACCAGAAATTATAATTAAAGTTGGAACCTTAAGATATTTTATAATAGCCTTCTGGTAAGACATACTTGATATAGCTGCCTTTCTTAGGTATTAATAAATAACATGTCATATTTTGTTTATGGGACTGGCATACCTTAGACTTAAAATCAAATTAATATTCTGTACCAGTTCTTTTCTTTCAAAAAACAAAAAAGCTGTAAGTGGTACTAAAATTTTTTAAACATTATCTATAAAGGCCCACTAAGTTAATGTCTAGAGCAGGGGTCCTCAAACTTTTTAAACAGGGGGCCAGTTCACTGTCCCTCAGACCGTTGGAGGGCCGGACTATAGTTTAAAAAAAACTATGAACAAATTCCTATGCACACTTCACATATCTTATTTTGAAGTAAAAAAACAAAACGGGAACAAATACAATATTTGTATTTGCATGTGGCCCGCGGGCCATAGTTTGAGGACCCCTCCCTGGTCTAGAGTGAGGTATTTTGCTGGTTACTACTTCAACAGTAGTTTCTCTTTTTCACCATTCAGGATTATGCTAGAAGAAGATACTCGAAGGAAAGAAAGGGAAATGAGTATAAGGGGTGGGCTTTGTGATAAGGTACTGGTACTATGGTAAATGTGAAGAAATGATGGCTATGGGGACTAGGAGGGAAGGACAGGAAGAAGGAAATTCCACTGTCAAAATGGAAAGAGGTTCAGGTTATTTAGTCAAATGTCAAAAGGACAAAGCAGTTCAGGGTAGTGCTAGGCTTGGAGAAATTTTCAAGTATAGTCAAATCTGCTCATCTGTATGCCTGCATATACAGTGTGCTGAAAAGGCATATATGATTCTAAAAGTAATTTGTGCTGCTGAACTGTAGGAGAATTTGGAATAGGGAAAGCTGAGAAAAACACATTTTGCCAGTAAACACAAGAAATAACATGATTTAAAAATGATAATTTAGCAACCTCCAAGAATAGTAAAAGTAGGAGTGGATGTAAAATAAAGTAGGCTATGTGATTTTCTGCCTGATGTGCTAAGGGGAGTATCACCTCCTAGCATAATCCTGAGTGGTGAAAAAGGGAAACAACTGTTTAAGTCGTAACCAGCAAAATACTTCACTCTTTGGCTTTTCTTTCCTCTTATGGGTAACTCTTTCCATATGATGCATAGGGACCTGAGGCAAGCAGCCACAGGTTTAACCATCTGAGGTCATTTCAACTTTAAAATAACTGAAAGGAAGTGTAACTTAAAAAAATGTTCATAAATAAAATATTATTGGAACACAGCTACACTCATTTATGTGTTGTCTGTGGCTATTTTCACATTACAACAACAGAGTTGAGTAGTTATCACACAGATCATATTACTCACAAAAACTAAAATATTTACTATCTGACCATTTATAGAAAAAAAGCCATAACCTGCACCAGGCAATTTGCTAGTTAGAGTTATTTCTTGTCTTTACCAACAACTTTATCAGCTGGTCCACCTACAAGGGACCTTTATGAGTAAAATATCCAGTAGTAGAGTTTGCTTCAAGTGCTCAATTAATGACACGAAGGTTTTGTCTTGATTCTTCCATCTTTGGCTTTTCTTTCCTTTTATGGGGAAACTTTTCATTTTTTAATACATATGTTTTTATTGATTTTTAAATAGAGAGGGAGAGAGAGGGCGGCGGAGGCGACGCGCGGGGGAAGATGGAAGACTACCAGACTGCGGAAGAGACCACTTTTGTTGTTGACGAAGTGAGCAACATTGTGAAAGAGGCTATAGAAAGTGCCATCGGTGGCAACGCCTATCAGCACAGCAAAGTCAATCAGTGGACCACAAATGTCGTAGAACAAACTTTAAGCCAACTCACCAAGCTGGGAAAACCATTCAAATACATTGGTAATGGATTTGCTTCTCGTATATATGGATGCTGGTTCTTGAAATACTGATGAGAGGCAGGTCTGGTGTCAGAAGAGAGTGGTTGTGTCAGCGTGGTGCCCAGCCTTCAAGTTCCCTGTAGAAGTGTCACTTGTGTTGTGCACATTGCTTTACTTTAGGTCATAGCTGGCATCACCTGGCCTAGTTGGCTGCTGGAACAGTTGCAGGGCATGCCCCAGGATTTCAGGTCAGATGCTTGTAGACCAGGTGTGCAGCGAAGGGAAGGGACAGGTGTGGTTTGTCAGTGTCATAGGACCTTAATTTTTATGAGCATCAACCACGTGATCAATATACATGTGCTGAAAGTGGGCAAAAAGAAATGTGTGTTGCCAAGTAGATTTCGCTAATGAAAGTTGTTTTCATTGAAGTGACCTGTATAATTATGCAGAAGAACGGAGCAGGACTACACACGGCGAGTTCTTGCTTCTGGGACAGCTCTACTGACGGTACGGTTCTCAGTCCCTGGGTCAGAGTCTGTCGTGGGCATTTTCCTGAGGTGGTGGTGTCTTCTTGGACCTGCTGAGATCTAGATTGTCCAAAGCCGAGTTTCCTGAACTGTGTGCGTGGGTGTTTCCTGTCTCTGCATGCATGCTCATTAGAGTTACCTTTAAAGCATTTTATAGAAAAGAGACTTGCCAGCCTTTATGTATGTACCACAAAGAGGTAAGTATCTGAGTGTTGGGGCCGGATAGTGAGACATCAACACGAGGTGGCCCATGTTCCTGACTTTCAGTGCCATCTGCCCACAGGGAGCTGCAGGAGAGAGAGATAGAAACATCGATGAGAGAGACACATTGATGGGCTTCCTACTAATGGGGATTGGGCCTGCAACCTGAGCATGTGCCCTGACCAGGATCGAACCCAGGGCCTCTTGGGTCCATGGGACAATGCTCAATCCACCCAGCAACACCAGTCAGGCAATTTTTTATTCCTTTTGGTACATGATATCAGCCGGAAGCTCCAGGTTCTTCACAGCAACCCCATTATGATGAGTAAATTTTATTTTCTTAGCATTTCCAACACAAAGTTGATTCTTATTGACTCTATCTGGGTCATGTGCTTATTCCTTTTATTTTTTATTTAAAAAATTATATCCTATATAATAAAAGAGAAACATGGTAATTAGCCATACCTCCGCTACCCTTCCCATTGGCTAATCAGGGCGATATGCAAATTAACTGCCAGCCAAGATGGCAGC